CCACCATGCATCGCCTCCTCCCTCCTCGCGGCTGCCTGCTCCGACGCCTGTCCACGGCCTCCGAGACCTCCGCAGCCTTGCCCCATCCACCGCGGCGCCCGCTGGCCGACTCACTCTACCGCCGCGTCACTGCCGTATGGAACCCGAACCTCCCGCTGACTCCCGTGCTGGAGCAATGGGCGGTCACGGAGGGCCGGGCCGTCGAGAAGAACAACCTCATGTGCATCGTCAAGAAGCTCGTCCGCCTCCGCCGCTTCTCCCACGCGCTCGAGGTCGCAATCACCCCAACCCCGAAGCGAATACTCCCTGTGCGCGCACCCCACTCGCTCATTCTTTGTGTTCTTGCAGCTGTCAATGTGGATGACCGACCGGCGGTACATGTACCTGTCGCCTGGCGACGTCGCGTACCGGCTGGAGCTGATCAGCAAGGTGCAAGGCCTCGAGAGTGCCGTGAACTACTGGAAGAGCTTGTCGATCCAGGTGAAGAAATCTCATTGCTACGGATCCCTCCTGAAATGCTATGCGGAGGCAAAGTCCGTCGACGAGGCCGAAAAGCTCTTCGCGGAGATGCAGGACTTGGGAATGATGAGATCATATCCTTACAATGTGATGATGAAGCTTTACTGGGAGACCGGGCAGGTTGAGAGGGTGCACACCATGTACAGGACCATGGAAGAGAGCGGCATCAAGCCTGATGTGTTCAGTATCAACATTCTGTTGACGGTGCTTGCAGCTGCTGGGAATTTTGATGGCATTGAGGAAATTATCAAGAAGGTCGACCCGAAGATCGTGAATTGGCACTCACATGCCATTGTAGCCAGGGCTTTCATGGAAGCCGGGCAGCAAGGAAAGGCCTTGCGAGCTATCCAGGAATCAGAAAAGCAGATAGGTCGGAAGGATGAGAGGGTTGCATATGGGTTCTTGCTTTCCATGTTTGCTGATTTGGGAATGAGTAGTGAGGCAGACCGGGTTTGGAATGACATTGATGTACATGTGCAGGATAAGTCCAAAGTGCTGAATGACATTGATGTACATGTACATGGGAATGAGTAGTGAGGCAGACAAGTCCAAAGTGCCGGTATGCAACTCGATGTACATGTGCAGGATAAGTGGGCTGCTTAAGATGAATGACATTGATAGTGCTGAGAAAGCCTTTAGAGAGTGGGAAAGTAGGTATGTTCACCATGATATCCACTTAACAAACTTACTGATAAATGCTTACTGCGCCAAAGGTCTTATGGAGAAGGCAGAAGCTCTCCTGGATGAAGCTATCGCCAAAGGGAGGACACCTCACCGTGGTACTTGGTATAGGTTGGCTAGTGGATTTTTCCAGGACGGCCAGGTGTCGAAGGCGGTGGATATGACAAGGAAAGCTCTTGCTTGTGCGTCTTCTCGATGGGAACCTGACCTAACAAATGTGCTAATGAGCCTGGAACATTTCATGGAGCAAAAGAATGTTGAAGCAGCCGAGGAGATGGCAAGCATGCTACGGAATTTAGTACCTTTGACAAGGGATGTTTACCACATTTTACTGGAGACATATGTTCATGCAGGACAACCAGTGTCAGATTTACTTGATCGCATGAAAAAAGATGGTTTTGAGGCTGATGAAGAAACAGATAAAATCATCGCTGGAATATGCCAGTAGATATCCGCAGCTTCCTATCAGTAGGCAATTTCGTTGGTTGTTTATTTTCCATGGCAGGTACTCCCTCCGTCTGGAAATACTAGTCGCATAAATGGATTAAAATGGATGTATCTAAAACTAAAATACGTCTGGATACATCCATTTCGCTGACAAGTATTTCCGGACGGAGGGAGTAGCTGCTAACCCATCCAATTATTAGTTTGACTTCCTTCCACTGCTTAGTGCTTATCTAAGACACTGTAATTCTTTAATCTTCTATATGCCGGTGTCACAGGGCAGTGGGGTTGTCAAATATATTCTTAGAGTATGTTCATTTGAAATTTGCACAGGTTTGTACTTCTGTTAGGATCAGATAAGATATGATGTAATGCAACTGTTCAGTAGTGTCACAAATCAGTCTTTTAAGAGATCCTTGGCTCCATCTACCACATCAAATTCTTACACTTGCGACCTAACTGCTTCTCTTTTTCTTTTCTTTTTTTCTCTTTTCATGGCATCCAAAGTCGCTATGGGGGCATGTCTGACATGAGCTGATAGCCTGACAATACCTTGTGTAATAAACCAGAGATTTTTCTTTTATGAAAGACAATAAACCAGAGATATGGACTCTGAAGAGATGTATGCCCATGGCATGAAAGGCATCTTACTGAAGTACATTGCACATTTAGCTTTTGTTGTTCATTTGAGAAAAATATAGTTTAATTCTTTTTTGTGTGCTCATATGATGCCTACAATATGGGAGGGATGGTTGTGGGCGGCAAGTTGTCCCTCAAATGGCCTGAATTTTCGTGGAGCTGGCCACTAGCGATAGCTAGGCCTGGCATCAAACGAGCCGGGTGAAATAATGGTTCAGATCACTTGTGGAAGACCAGCAAAGACTGGAAACAACAACGAAAGTTGCTGCACAAATGGATCTTGGTGAAGTATTTCAGTATGGCTGGTAGTTGGGGCATTATTTGTCATGGAACTGAAGAATGAGGTTTGCTGTACATTTCACATTTGAAAAACCCAGTTTGATTCACGTCGTGTAATCTGCAGCACTTAATGTAGGGTGAGGGAATAATATTTTTTTAACTAGAATTGCCTTCAGCTTCTTACCTTCATGCATATGTGTGTAAGAAATTTAACATTTTAATCGAAATTATCTTATGCAGGAGCACCTCGTCATGATCTTGGAGAACTCGTGTAATTCTTTTTCCGAGTTTGCCACCATCCTGATAAGAACACGTACGTACGCCTCCTAAGGAAAATTTTATTTCTCCAAGCAACAGAGGGTTCCTTGCGATCAGCCGTGTGAAGTTTCTATTGATTTGCGTCGCCTTCATCAGTTTAAGGGGGAAGAGAAAGCTTCCGTTTGTTGATTTGTTGTGGGGGCCAGTCCAGTCAGCGATTAATCACCCATCTTGCGTCCGTCCACGAGCACCACCATGTGATATGATTGCATGCCTAAATTCCGTTCTGCTTTGGGTGTGGTTGGTTAACCCACTCCTTTCTTTTTCTTCCGCGTATCACTGTATCACACACACATATCATTTTGGCCCCTTGTCGTACGATTTGCTTGCATACATATATAGCATGTTCGTGTACTAACTTTCTCCGGTGTGGTACACTCTTCTCACTTGCTTACGCAACACAACAATCTGATCACTTCTCCATCCATGTGATTGATACGTACGTCTGTCCAGGAAGAATCTGCCACGGACAAGCTGCCGTGCCGTCCGTCGATCGCTCCTCACTTGCTGGCGCCGGAGAGAAGCTTGGCACGTAGCGCGCGCCTCCGTGCCAATCTGCCCCCAGAATTTATGTACGAGATGTACAAAACATGGCCGCCTGACCGCCCCCGTATTTTGTCCACTCTGATCGATCGGTTCGGCTCTCTCTTCTTCGGCGAGTCTGGAGGTGGAGCTCGTCCTGGTTTAGGTCCAAAGCTACTTTCTCGGCTAAAATGCTTTTGTGGAGAACTGACGGCGCAACGTGTCGTACGTTTTTCTTCTTGTGAAATGGAATACAAGCATCAACTCCATGCAGCGTTAATTCAACACATAGTCACACGATAGGTATCCTGTATTCGGATCAGAAAGATTAGAAGACAGTCGCATTAGGTCAGAGTGATCTTTAGCAGCTAGCATAGCAGTGTCCAAAGATTCCTGACATCCGAATAACTAGTACGCCGTGCAAGATTTTGGTTTAGCGAGAAAGCGGCATGCCGTGACATCAGAGTTCCATGGGGCTCTCGCCCCATCTTTCCATTGACAAGAAAGTCTGGTGGGCGATGTCACGGCGCACGGAGACGGAAGCCTCTCGTCCCTTGGCCCTCAACGTACGTGGGGATGGATGGATGGTGCTCTACTCCTACCTGTCGCTGTGTTGCTGCTACACGCACAGTGCACGTGAAGCACGAACTTCCTGGAGGACCATCATATCGGGCGCGCTGGAGGCTGGGCAGGCCACACGCTCGGCGTGATTCGGGCCCGTTGATGAACTGGAATGATCTACGAGGCTCTTTACAAGTTGTATCGGTTTTCGCCCGGTTTTTTATTAATTAATTGGACAATTCTCTTCTGCTTAATTAATCGATGAGGCAAATTTTTTTCCTTCGTTTTGAAGAAAAAAAACAAATGCATTCCGTGCACCGTTGAGTGAAGTAATTTAGCCGAAATCCTCCTCTAATCTGCCGCGCCTGTAATCAACACAAAAACAGAAGTCACTGTAACGCTAAATAAAGTTATGCTTTACGTAGGAGGCTGGTTCGTGGCTTCGTGCACTCGTCGAAACATCGGCATCACATCCATGGAGCTTTCTAGATGCATGCGTCGATGGAGCTCACCCTCTCTCACACGTAGCTCGGCAGTGTGTGTAGTTTGATTTTTTTTTCTCCTTGTGCCTCGCCTTCACTTCCAAACGTGACGCCGATCGCCGAAGCATCACGCACGGCACCGCTCTTCGTCCAATTCCCGATCACCGCGAGAGAGTGTATTTACATGCTCTCATAACTTGTCGGAAACGACTTGCTTACGAGTCGTGAAGTGGAGAACGAACGTGTCCAAACTCTGTCAGTTCCCGGCCGTGCCAAATCGGTGGTCAGCTTGTCAGTAGTTTGCAGCTGGTGCCCACTTGCCTGGCGCTCTAAATTAATCTTCAAGCTGACGTGAGGATTTCGAACCCATGCTAGCCAGTCATGGACAGATTTTGCTTTGTGTAATTTGTATATTTTCCAAGACGCTAGTACTCGTTTCCCACGGGGATCTAGGAGATGTTCCTCGCGTAATCTCCATGTGTGATCCCCGTTTTCCAATCCAAATCAAGTTTCTAATTCTCCCAAACCACTGTGCCTGGCTGAAGGAGATGGCACACGAAAGCAGCGACGAAGAAGACATGCCAATCTACAGGGACTCCACACTCGAGGCTTGGAGGTCTCGTCGGTGCCATGTGCGTACGCGGATATGTCCTGTTCTTGTCTCGTTGCACCACGAGAGGATGTGCTAATGGGATCCCCGACGCACGGTCTTCTCTTGGTGGAAATACAAATTATGTGTATATATAAACTGCGCGGCAGAAAGATTGTCTGTTGTAATTTGTGGGTGGATTTTAGCGGTCCAGAGAGTTTTACTAACATAAAGCGTTTGTTCGTTGAAAGAGGCCCTTGTTGGATGCCTTGCTAATAATTGCAACAATGGTGGCACGTATCTTACGGGGAATCTTCCCATCAAACAACATACGATGCGCATAAGAGCATCTCCCATAGGCCATAGCTCATGTAAAAAACCTCCTCGTGAAAATGGTTTTTACGAGATATTTGTATAATTTTGGGAAAGTAGTCATGTGGCGTCTTTTCTTAGTTCACATAAACATCTTTCCCTTTTTTCTTATATCGCCCAATAAAAGCCTACCTAATAGTCTAGGGCTTCAAGTGAGTGACATGTGTGACGGTGGCAGCCACCATCGCTACGCGACGCATGGTGGCAAGGGAGCGCGGAGGTGCGGGGCGGCACGGCGTGAAACTTCAGGCGGTTGCAACTCACCTAAATTTTACGGGAAGGATCGTC